GCGGTGTGCCCGTAGCATTAGTTTAGTAAGACTGCGGTGTGGCCCGTAGGCAATCGATGTGAGGATAGTTAGACTGCGGTGTGGCCCGTGAGCTTAGTTTAGTAAGACTGCGGTTGTGGCCCGTAGCAATCGTATGTGAGTATATTTGGCTGCGGTGTGGCCTGTAGCACTGGGTTAGCACGACTGCGGGGTGGCCCGTTTTTTCGTAGCTGTAGTTGGCTGGCAGCGCAGAAGTGTTGTAAGAGTATGTGGGTGGTCGTAGCATTCACTAGTTGATAGAGTGAGTATAGTAAGACTGCAGGGTGGCCCGTAGCATTCGCCGGTCCCTATTCGCTAGTGCGAATGTATCAGGTGTGTGATTCAGGGGCAGGGTTTTTTAGATAGTTAAGTTCAGGACGGGGCAGCCGCCCGGATTTGTGAGTGGGCCACATTATGGTTGGGTCCGGAAGGCGGAGGTTCATTAGAGACCAAGAGTGGCGTAAGACTGAGGGTAAGCCGTGGCATTCTTAGTAGCTTAGTTCGCGGAGTGTGGGCGGGGGCCCGTATCTCCGAGGTAGCATGGGAAAACCAGTATTCCGGGGTAATTGTAGATCAGTTGTGACCAGGGCGGTCTCGGATCATCCGGTAGGCGGATGGGAGTCAACATGGACTAGGCAGGAATGATGGTAAGGGTTTCGGTTGTGAAAACCGTGAGCTGATCGGATGATGCTAAGCTGCTCATCGCGGGATCGAAGATCTCAGAGTAAAGGATTTGGCTCTGCGACGCCGTTCTCGTCTGAGCCTTAACGTTAGCAGAGAGGGATCTGTACCGAAGGTGTTGAATTCTCACGATTGGTGGGCTTTCAGTATTGGAGCTTTGTATGGGGGTTATTCTGTGAGTATTGGTATGATTGCCGGCACTGGGAGTGGCCGGGATTGCGGGTTTCAGCAGAGGATCGGTCCTCGAAGGAAATTGGGAAGGTTGTTGCTTGTGGAAGTGCCTTAGAAAGGCCAGTGACAGTGTAGGGTAAAAGGGTAAACCCTTGCGAATCAAGGGTAAGTGTATCAGGAGTATCGGTATGATTACCGGTTGGATTAAAAGTGTTGTACTCGAGGGTATAAGTAAACGAGTTATTCTGAAGATGACATCTTCAAGTTTTGGATCGGATGGGCGGAGTGTGTACCTAGTGGTAAAGTGGCGACCAGATGGTAAGGTAGTTGGTCGTTGGCAGACTTCGAGGACGAAAGTCTGGTTTAAGTGGGGGAGTGTTGTAACACCCAGAATCAGAAAGACCCAGAAAAGGAAGGAAAGGCTCTAAGTCAAGAGTCAACTCGTCGAGTCCAGGGAGGAACTCGACGAGTCGAGCGGGATCCGGGGCCATAGAGAGTAAGTGACCGATCGGCGAGTCGGCTAGTGGACTCGGCGAGTCTGGTCTGGGCGAGAAAAACCCTAATCCCGGGGTTGTGCCCTATTTAAAGAACATTACATCCTTCCCAGCCTCTTTATCCCCTTTGAGATCCAGAAACCCTAAATCGTGAGTGAGAGCCCCTGGAAGCCAATTTAGAGCCTAGATAAGTGATTTTGGTGGAAAGGGGCTTGAAGATCAAGATGCTTTGCTGCAAAGGAGTGAGTGGTGTAGATCCGGGATCTCTTCAGTTGGAGCATATATGGAGGTAATAAGCTGTTGCTTGGCTTTATTGCAAATAGATCTATCTTAGTTTGAGATTTGGGGCATTTTGGGCATGATTGAGATCTATGTCGGCGAGTTAGAGGCCTAGATCTGAGGTTGCTACCTCAGATCTAGACTTGTGATGGTCCAGAAGGTCATAAAGTATATGTCAATAAGTTATTGGTGAAGCCCCTTTGCCTTAAACCCTAGCCCTAGAGTGTTTTGGGCCTTTCGCTCCTTGGTTTCACGTAAAGTTTGCAACTTTACGTGGGGGATAGACTGTTAGAAGAGTGGATCTATGGATTGAGCCCCCTGCATGGCTCGATAAGCCACTGTATGGATTGAGACTGGAGAGGACTCGGCGAGTCACATGGGTGTACTCAACGAGTTGTATGAATAGGTGCATGGGTTCGACGAGTTGGAAGAAGAACCACTCGGCGAGTCTGTTGAAGATTGCCTAGGACTCGGCGCGTCTTTCTTGGACTCGACGAGTTAGGTCGCAGAACCCCCAACCTCTTTCTGGTTAAGATGCAGATCAGTGAGTTGAGCGATGACTCGTGAGTTGGACAGGATGGACCGGAGATCGTTGTTGAATCGACGCGTCCTGGGGTGACTCGGCGAGTTGGGTCGATTTTGAGAGCTTCTGAGTTAAGGACTCGGCGAGCTTTGGGTTGACTCGGCGAGTCGATTTCAAATGGACGGTTGACTTTGACCAGGACTTTGACTTTAACCAGTAGTTGACTTCGTTTGACTTCTAGAGTTCAGTTTGGAACTAATGTTTTATTGATATTAGTAGCTCGGGGAGCTAGCAGAGCAGCGGTTCAGAGAGTGGTCGGACAGCAGCCAGAGGGTTATCAGCAAAGTCAGCAGTGCGAGGTGGGTCTCCTCACTTTTGTCTGGGTCTACGGCCACAATACCGACCCATTTAGTTTATGTATGGTAGGAAGACCCGGGGTTAGCCCTAGGGGTTAGCCTAGGCATTATGCATGAAAGACCAGGGAGCTCCTGGCCCCACAGTATGTTATTATGTATGGTAGGAAGACCCGGGGGTTAGCCCTAGGCTTATGCATGAAAGACCAGGAGGCGGTCCTGGCACACAGTATGTTATTATGTATGGTAGGAAGACCCGGGGGTCGCCCTAGGCAATGCATGAAGACAGGGAGGAGGCTCCGGCACAGAGTATGTATTATGTATGGTAGGAAGACTCGGGGGGTTAGCCCTAGGCATTATGCATGAAAGACCAGCCGGAGGCTCCTGGCACACAGTATGTTATTATGTATGGTAGGAAGACCCGGGGGGGTTTTAGCCCTAGGCTATATGCCATGAAAGACCATGAGGAGGCTCCTGGCACACAGTATGTTATTATGTTATGGTAGGAAGACTCGGGGGTTAGCCCTAGGCAACATGTATGAAAGACCAGGAGGTGGCTCCTGGCACAATGTCTAATATTTGAATGAAATTACCAGGCGGGTGGCTCCTAGCACCACTGTATGCTGAGTCTCCTAGTAGAGTAGTATAGTATAGTTGTCTTTGTGATGCTTGCATGGAAGACCAGGGGGGTGGCCCTTTGCACTTGTCTGTAAAGACCCAGGGAGTGCCCAGGCTTGACAAGAAAGACCCCGTGCGGCCCGTGGCAATACAGCAACGATATGTTGGCACATAGCACTTTACTTGATTATGGATCTGTTTGTATGTTGGCTCATGGTTACGTATGGTATGTATGGATCAGTTGGTTTGTATGGTATGTGGTATCTGGGGAACTCATAGTTTCGTGCTTACGGTTTTCAGTTTTGGTTTCAGGTTATTCAGTTTTTCAGAAGAGGAGCTCGGAAGGGTTGCAGTGCACACACCATGACAAGTTAGCCTGAGATGTTTACTCTTATAATTTAAACAAGTGTTTTGGAAATGAAACTATGATTTGTCATATAAACCTTTTAGTTGTTTGAATGACTTAATGCTATGAATCAGTAATGTTTTTAAAAGAAATTTTTGGACTCGAAATTTGGGATGTTACACCTGAGCCCTAGGGTTTGGGTTGTGGCGGACACCACACTCTCGGTCCATACTCGTTACTGCAACATGGTCACCAAGTAGACCCGTACGTCATTTAACGACATTGTTGCGTCGCATACACAAAACCATCGCCTCGCGGTTTGAATTGACGGTTTTGCCCAAAACCTTTTCCTTTTTCAACACAAAATCCATAAGATGACTCGATCCAGAAAATGGGGGTGTTACAATATGCACCTTTCCAACACCTGTATACTTGCGATTGACTCATACGCTAATGCTCACACTTGTTTTCTTTGCTTGTTGTTTTCGCCTTACCTCGGTTTACAAGTAAACCTTATTTGATCTGCTTGCGAGGATATGGACTTTGGATAGTTATTTTTAGTATTACTTAATGATGCTACCCATTTGGACTTTGTTTATTGAGATTTCATTTTACATTTGGTTTTAAGAACTGCTTTGGTGTTGGTTTTAAAACTCTCTTTTGACTGGGGTTATTTTTTTAAATAATTTTAAGAACGTTGGTGATGTTTTCAAATAAAATTAAGCTTTCATGCTCTCTTCTGTTTTTAAATAAGAAAAATTAAGGTGAAAAATCACGCCATTTACAGTGCACACCCACCTTAGCCCTATCATTCATTGTTTTTGGAATCAAATTTGTATATAAATTATGCATTTCGCACCTATGGACTGCACTGAGCAAAAACTACATTATTATCGATAGAAACTCGTGTTAAACTCAAATCACCTAAAATGTTAAGTACACTTAAGGCAGCAACCGTTCAATGCAACATAGAGCTTAAGTGGCCCGAAACATTTTGAGCTTGGGTAATTACAAATTAAAGTCTATAAATGGAACAAAAAGAATGTTGTAAACAATATCATTTATTCACACCAATGGAAAACGTTGTTGCAATAATTAAAGATCATACAAACAAACGACAAATTACAATTAGAAAGATTTCTTCGACACAAATTATACATGGACCAATATATGTAATTAAAACAAGATAATGGGTTTATAATGATCAATAAATAAATAAAAGGGCCGGGTTGGAGGGGTAATTCATTTGGGGGATTTTTGTTTTTTCTCTCATAGTTTACCAGTTATTCGAATGTTTTTTTTCTGCAATCAACCAAATTAAATATTATTAAAATAATTTCAAATTCATTGCTTATGAATTTCACCAACCATCCGTTAATTAACAATTATAGAAAAAAACAAATGATCAACCACTTCCTCATAAATTAAATCAGTAGTATGTTATTACTTCTCCTTATATGAGTTAGAACCAAGCTATAATTATGCATACCAAAATCCATATAAAGAAAATGTATAATATTGAAAGGTCTTATAAATTATGGACTAGTGTCATGTGAGTGGAAGAGAAAACGGAACTACTTACAAAATGAAGAAAGCTTCTCCTTCAAATCTACTTCTTCTTCCAAAGCCGGGCTTTTTCCGATTGACGAAGAAGGCGGTTGTTTTGAATTATCTCTGCCACCACAACCCTCCTTGATCACTAAAACCAATGGACGATATTCATGAAAAAGAAGAGGAATTCGAATTTTGCTCCTCACTGAATTCATCTTCTACCTTGTCAACTTTACGTTTCCACTTCCACCATCCCAAGCCAGCCACAATCACCTCCTCCACTACTGCAGACATCCATATTGAACATCATTATCATTTCAAAATATCATAAAAAGATTAATAGTTTATTTAGTATAAATCATGGATGCATGATTCGAGCCCACGATGTCATCAAGGCCAAGACAGTAACACGGTTTTGCGGATATTTGATAAAACTCAACGGTAAAACATATTTTCCTTATATTTAAAATATCTCATTCGATTCATTTTTCTTAATTTTAAAGAAAAGACTTGCCTGGTTTTCCATGCACTACTTACATGCATAATCAAAAAGCTGTTTTGTTTTAATTTTTAAAGCAATTCAACAAGGTTTAGTGGCATAAGGAAAATCATGGTGAAACTAACATCCATCAAGACCATTTTACGAGATACAAAATCCCGATCACTTCAGCAGTCACCGACAGACAAAGTCAACAAGAAGATTACCATGGACAGCAAACCAAATAAATTGGACATTCAAAGCGACTCTAGCCAATATGGTCAACAAACATAACAAGAACCGAAACAAGCAAGAGGAGAAATTATCAAAAAAGTGGTTTTAATAAGATGTTTGGTGGGTTTTGAAGAATATAGGCATACGTCGAAGTCGTCGAAAACACGTGGGTAGAAAAGTTGTCCAGTCTCAATCAAATCTTCACCAATGCATGATAATGATGTTCGGAATACTTGTGATGAACGAAGGAGTTCGTTTTACTCGAAAGATCATTCCATTCAGGGAGCTATTGCTCACTGCAAAAAATCTTTCGGAAAATGAACATATGCTTTTATTATTGCATGCATTTTTATTCCTATATGAATTTCTCCCTCCTTTGTATTAAGTTTTTCCAAAAGTCGTAAGGATTCGATTTCCAATCCAATCTATGGCTATTGTTAATCCAACTGTACGGTTGTAAGGTTATCCCCTCCAATCTAGTTTTTTCTGTAAATTTCCAAAAAAAGTTTTGGATCACAAACATGGCCTTAGTTTGATGGTTATCATCCTTTTTGACCATAACACAAGAAATCCAACATGGTTAACAACCAGATATCAAAACCATCCACCATCTTCCCGTCCCACCATCTATCATCGATCCTAAGATCTCAGAACAGGTGTGGGGGGGGGGGGGGGGGGGGGGGGGGGGGTGGTGATAGGTGGTGGAAAGATGATTCCAGCCCCGAAAAATGGTGGTTGTAACGCAGCAGAGCCACGGAAAGTTATGGTCGTAGCAGATCCAACCCGTGAATCAGCAGCTGCTCTCCGCTATGTTCTATCTCATTAGTATTCGAGAATGACACATTGTCTCTTCTTCACGTTGAGAATCCAACCTTTGGAGAATAGAATTCCAGGTTTTATGAACCAATCATCACCATCTTCAACACCCCTTCCTGTAATGAAGGCATAAATGGCCATTGGGGTGGTGGTGGTGGTGCCTCGGAGGAAATGTGACTTTCTTGATCAAATGAAGGATGCATTGTGAAAGCACGCACCCAAAGATGAAGGTGAAGGTGATAAAGGTTGAAATGGGTGCTATGGAAAAGCTAACGTGATTTTATCACAGACGAATGTGCATGGAATTGATCTTCTTGTTGTAGGAAAGCGTCAGAGCCTATCTACCGCAATACTATGTGAGTTCTTTATTCCCTAATCTGTCGTTAAAAAGGGTGAAGATATATCTAGATATATATATCGTGATAATCCTTATATATATGAATCAAGAATGATCATAATATTGATTTCAAAAAAAAAAAAAAAAAAAAAAAAAAAAAAAAAAAAAAAAAACAAAAAAAAACAACGTTTAATTTCGACCTAAAAGTCAAATTGCTCATCTCTCATGGTGAAATATTTGGTTACAGCAAGGGAGGAATGGGACAATAAGAGGAGAATTAGCAGAGTATTTGGTAGAGAACTGCAAATGCACCTGCGTTGCAGTGCAGAAAAAGGGTCTAACAGGAGGCTACCTTCTCCATACCAAAACCCATAGAAATTATTGGCTCTTAGCATAAAGGGCCAAGAACTTTGTGATTTGATCACTTGTCTCTTATTAGTTCTCCCTCCATTTCATAAAACAAAGTACATAGAATCTAACTTTTGAGGACACACTCGGCTCTTCAAAATCCAAAACTGACACGAATTGTTTAAGCTTCACCATATATATACATGAAAACATCAATTCGAAAGAAGGAAATGTTATGTTTTACTTGTAATTTCAAAAGTTCAACAAACATACAAGGAGAAAGAACATTGGCCAAATGGTTAAGAACTATAAGAGCAAATCTCACACCATAATCATTTTGAATCCAAGGTCCGTGATTAGATGAGTTTTGTGGCGATTTTTATCATTTAGCGTAAACTATACTTGTTAGATTTTGGGGTCTTAAGAATATCAATATATTTGGATATTTCTTGGATTGTGATTGCAATCATTTTCCAAAATCTGTGATTTCGACCCTATAGCATGGGGTATCACGAAATAAGATTTGGAATAATCCAAAGAATTTCAATTTAAAAGTCATGCCACTTCTAAATTAGAAACAGAGAAAAGTATCTTGATGTTTTGTGTTCTTGAAAGATAGAACAAATCAATATATGATTTTCATATATGTAAGTTCCAACCCTTTTTTTGGAACCAGAAAAAATTCTTATGTTAGAGGGAAAAGTAGTTAAACGGAAGTTGCCTCCTTTTGGCACCAAAAATCGTTGGTTATTAAGACAACCAACTCATGACATCATCATGATATAACTAAAGGTTTTGGCGGGAAAATGCATGGCAGGAGTCATGATATAATCATGATATCGTCGTCAAGGGCTCTGCCCATTGGACCCCGCTAAGGGCGCTGCCCCCTCGGACCCTGCCAGGGGCGCAACCTTGGAACCCTACACCAGGGGCGTTGCCTCCGAAACCCCGTATTCTCGAGTTCACAATTTATCACTTGAATATGCACCTTACATTTCCTATCTCCGGTTGTAAATGAAGTTCAACCTATCTTCTTATAATAATAATTACACCAAAAATATTTATTCCACTAAAATCACCAACAATACTTGCGAATTTAATTCAGTAGCTAACTTAATTTAATGTTGTTTATACTATGTTTACACTCAAAATTTTAGTTGATAAATTTATATTTTTTTTTTACATTAAAAAACAAAATATATTTATCTACATTTACTTCATTATTTTATTACATATTTGTTTATTTAAAAGTAAAAGTGAACAATCACCTCTACAATTCATTTGTAATAATATAAAATATGCGTTGTGACCATTTTGTTTATTGAGAAATTTCTTAGATGGGCCTAATGTCATAAAAACCTCAAGTTTTCAGGGTTTTGTCGGTTTTGCCCAACGTTGAATTTTATGTCCATTTTTATCCTAACATTTTCCAAAAA